TGATTTCCCCGATATGCTTAATGATTAATTGGATGACTTCAAAACTTACATGTTTAAAAACTTGATTAAGATGATCTAAAAAGTGATCAACGTCTACTTTAACAGTTATCACATCGCTAATTAAGCATTGTACATAATTCTCTTCATGTACATGCTTACCGTTATTAGGAATCATTGGTTCTTTGTTGCTTTCGGTCATTGGTTCGATCAAACGGCACCCGAGCGATTCGCAAATCTTTTGCAGTTCTTTTTTTAAATACCGTATAATGCAGACCAAATGTTCATCCTTATTCGACTTACTATTGGCATATTTGTCAAAAGCTGCTTTTAACTCAATGATATGCTGATCGTTATTGATACACAATTTGTTTATGAAATGATCTAGTGCGATGTACAATCGATACGGACCGAAGTGTGTTCCTAAACCCATCAAATGTTTCAAAATCAACCGAAACATGATGACTTTCAAAAAGTCAAAGTGCAACGTGTAATATGCTTCGATGTGACGAAGGTTATTGGTGGTCCAGTCCAGGTTGTGAGCTTTAACCCAAGCTTTTTGTAACCGATCAGAAGTATCGCCCCAGTTCACTTGCACATCGTACGTGGTCATCAACCCTTTTTTGAGCTCTGCATTTATGCCCAAGTTGTTCATCAACAGCCTTTTAGGTTTCACCGTCTCATCGAACAACCGAAAATTTAAGTTACTATTCGTGCTATTATTATTCATCAAGTTCATCAATTCATAACTGTTGTTGGTAAAAATCATCGATGTGGCGTCGTAAGAAAGTCCTTGATTTTCGACAAACTCACCATTCGAATCGAAAAAATTAGTTTTGCGACAATTCCCGACGGCCTTCTGCAATTTGTCGATAAGACACGTGTGTGTATTTAAGATTTTCGGTACATCGTACTCGAGACCCGCCACAGACTTGTCAAGTATAAAATCGAAATAACTCAGTAACATACTCGTATACAACTGTAGCAGCCACAACGGACCAATTGTCGTTAGATCCAACGAATATAGCGTGCATACCATACATTTGACGGTACCAAAAAGCCGGTGAAGCATGCCTAAAGCTTTGTTTGTTGAACTTAACGGAGGTATAAACACCAGTCTGATCAGATGCATTTGCGTCAGCACGCCAAACCGGTAACCGCATTTCAAGTCTGTGATACGATCAACGGTTAGATCATGGTCATCGGTGTTATATTCGTATCCTGTATCCAAATTTTGTACCGATCCACACGTCTCGAGAAACGCGAATACCGATACAATTATAACAAGTATTCTCGAACACTTCATTTTAATACAAATGTAAAAGGAATTAGAGAACGATTTTTGAGAATAAATATCGGAATTTGTTTTGTAATTTAAAAAAAAAAAAACAAGTAAATTGAACAACTATATGGAAAGATGGTATACATCAGATGACGTACAAAAAAGATGGCGTGCATGTTGAACAAATATTTTGTAATCTTACAAACGCAATAACACCAAACGAACCTAAGAAAATAATACGTAAAACTATTTATTATTTTGGATATCATACTGCGAAGCTACAACATTTAAATAAATGTATGCAAAAAACACAAAAACAAACAATAACCATAAACAAAAACAGTGTGACATTTGTTACGTTTATACAACATTGCGTTTTAAGTCTAAAAGCATCCACACTGAATTTTCACAATAGATAAGAACTTTATCCGAAAATCTTGAAGCGTTTTTAAATTTCAGCAACCAATCAGGCACCGCCTGGGCAAGTAAGGTTTTTAATTTTATTTTCGAAATTTCGATATAGCTCTCAGAGTGTTTAACAAGTCCAAACTTGCTCAGGCCCTCTTCTAATCGTGGCAACGTTTTGTGTACGTGTAAATGTTTCATGGGGAAAAACGCCAGTACAGTGGGGTCGAGGTATAGTAGGGACGAAGAGGTCACCGGCTTCAAAAAATTATTATAAATGAAAGTAATGAAATCACTTTCAAATAAAGGCTTCGATGCGATCTGTGGACATTAGGTTCAAGCCTGTACAGTTCAAACCAAGCACGATATAAACCGCAGTCTAGTAAAAAGGATTTTAAATCTTTAAAAGTCTGTGACTCTTTATCTTTGTGGTTATTAACAATTAAATCACTAAAAATTATAAAAAGCTTCGATAAACAAGAAGAACAAACAAAATTATATTTATTCTATGAAATTCACTTAAAACAATGTAGGTATAGATACTGAAAAAACAAGTTAAATAAACTTTTTATAGACAATTTGAATATGGTTATTTTTATGTTGGATGCACTGTTCTAAAAATTACTAATGACACACCAGCATTTAGTTATTAACTTAAATGTTCTACTACATGCATTTTTACTAATAATATTATTATATGTTCATAGAAAAAAAGTATATAGAAATCAATATATTCGATTATTATAACTAAACAAATTTAATGGTTGATTTCCCCGATATGCTTAATGATTAATTGGATGACTTCAAAACTTACATGTTTAAAAACTTTATTAAGATGATCTAAAAAGTGGTCAACGTCTACTTTAACAGTTATCACATCGCTAATTAAGCATTGTACATAATTCTCTTCATGTACATGCTTACCTTTATTAGGAATCATTGGTTCTTTGATGCTTCCGGTCATTGGTTCGATCAAGCGGCACCCGAGCGATTCGCAAATCTTTTGCAGTTCTTTTTTTAAATACCGTATAATGCAGACCAAATGTTCATCCTTATCCGACTTACTATTGGCATATTTGTCAAAAGCTACTTTTAACTCAATGATGTGCTGATCGTTACTGATACACAATTTGTTTATGAAATGATCTAGTGCGAGGTACAATCGATACGGACCGAAGTGTGTTCCTAAACCCATCAAATGTTTCAAAATCAACCGAAACATGATGACTTTAAAAAAGTCAAAGTGCAACGTGTAATATGCTTTTATGTGACGAAGGTTATTGGTGGTCCAGTCCAGATCGTGAGCATTAACCCAAGCTTTTTCTAACCGATCAGAAGTATCGCCCCAGTTCACTTGCACATCGTACGTGGTCATCAACCCTTTTTTGAGCTCTTCATTTATGCCCAAGTTGTTCATGAACAGCCTTTTAGGTCTCAACGTCTCGTCGAACAATACAAAATTCAAGTTACTATTGGTGCTATTATATTTTAACATTTTCATCAAATTACAGTGGTTGTTATAAAACAGATCTGCCATTTCTTTGTACGCCAGTTCTCGAATTGTGACGAACCCGTCTTCGAAATCAAAAATATTATTTTTGAGACAATTACCGACAGCCATCTGCAATTTGTCGATGACATACGTGTGGGTCTTTATGATTTTCGGTGCATTATACTCGAGAATCCTTATAGATTCCTTAAGTATAAATTGAAAAGAACTTATTAACACGCTTATATACAACTGTAACATCCACAATGTTCCAATTGTCGTCTGATCCAACTTATATAACGTAGATATCATATATTTTACAGTACTACTAAGTAGGTGAAGCTTGCCTAACGCTTTGCTTGTTGAACTTGCCGGAGGTATTAGGGCAAATCTGATGAGACGCATTTGCGTTAGCCCGTAAAACATGTAACCGCATCTCAAGTCGTTGTTATGAGTTTTATGTTTGTAACCGGTTTCCAAATATTTTGCTGACCCAAACTTGAGAAACGCGAAGTTAAATACAACTAGAAACAGTATTTTCGACCACTTCATTTTATAAAATAATATTATAGGTATACGATTTTTGAGAATAAATATCTGAATTTGTACTGTTATTTAAAAAAAACAAAAATCAAGTTGAACAACTTTAAATGGTAAGATGGTATTTATCAGATGACGTGTAAGTTGAAAAAACATTTATATTCGTACAAAGCAATAACAACTATCAACCTAAGGAAATAATACGTTCAACTATTTTATTAATATGGATAAAAAAACTACGAAGCTAGAAAATTTAAATAAATATATATGCAAAAAAACACAAGAACAAACAAAAACCATAAGCAAAAACAGTGTGACATTCATTACGATATTATTTTTTGATACAATGTTTAACAGGTACAAAGTATAAATTATATTTTTAAATTGATAATTATAAAATAAAATAAAATTTGACTCTATTAACTGTATTCACATATATATTTACTTTTAATTTGCAAAAATACTATGTTGGTTAATAATCACCTAAAAAGGTATATTCAATTTTCCAATTTACTTGTGACAATTATTGTGACACCAAATAACGAGCGACGGTTTCTTGTAAGAATAAAGGCTACACGGTTGTAAAAATTTAGCAGTTTCATTAAAAAAAAATGTTTTAATATTGTCATAAAACTTCCTTTTTGGAGTTTTACAGACTAACTAAAATATGACCCGATGCATTAGTTTAATTTAAATTGACTTTCACAGTTAACGTCAAAAGTCTTTACGTTTATGGCTAGTATACAACACAATATAGCGCTTTATAAAATGTTCAATGAATAGTGTTTCTTAATTACACCAAAAATTTACTTATGTTGGCTAAAGTTATTTTTATTTCTATAAAAAGTCAAGAATTGAAATTTTAATTACCGTTGTTTACGTTAAAAACAATTCGTCGAATGATTTATTTCCAAAACGTGTGCACATAAACATATCTCTTTAAAACCAATATAATACTTTACTGGAAAAGTTACTCAAAATGTAAAATAAATGTTTAATTAAGCAATTAGGACTGATTTCAATATGTAAATAGAACAAGTTTACTTAAAATAATGCAAATAATAATTTGTAAATGACATTTGAATTCCAAATTGTTGTTTATAAATACTAATAATAATAATAATAACAATAGCAATAATAAATAGTAATCAATTGTAATCTATAATCTATGTATTTTAGCATTTAGCAAATTTCTTTTAAACAGTCAAGTATGACAATAATAATTGTTATAATCATTAAATGAAAAAACAAATTATTAAGTAAAAGTCAAAAAAAGATAGTTAAGACGAAAATAATTTAAATAAATTCATAATATTATACATTTATAAATAAATCGGTTCCTTTAACAAAGTGTTTTTCGTACAGCTAATAATTTTATTAATACATTTTTTTCCCAAATAAATTACATACATTTTACGCTAGTTGTCTTATACAAATATCGTGTGAAAACAACGATAAATTTCCACACCATTAGAAATTATTTTAACAATCAGTCTTATTCAAATAATTATTGTACCGACACAGTTGAATCGTTTTCATACGTCTTCCATCATAGTATTTTCTTCACTCGTTTCGTGCACATTAGGTTCTCCGCCGAATTGTTTGGTCGCATTCAACAACATTTCTGTTTCTTGTTCACCAAGTCTATCGTAGAAGTCTTTGATACCCTAAAAGAAAATATACACATTAACCGACGTCATTGGTAGTCAACATCAAAATATACCAATGATAGCTGTAAGACCGAGTCCGGCGGATCGTTGACGAGCATTAGTTTCTCCTTTTTGGTCAGGCTTATGGGCATATCTTTTAATTGCAGTAAGAACTCGCGTATTTTTTCACCGTTTTGATTGGCGCACGGTTTTTCTTCTAAATATTTACTGACCTGTCGACAGAGAAAATAAAATACTTGTTACCAAACCACCAACAGGAACAAAGTATGTTAAATGAAATGATAGAAATGAAAAAGTTAGTGATTACGAAACAAATTATGAATAAAAAAACTGATACCTCGTACAAGATCGTCGAATGATTCATGCCGCCAATAAGTTTAACGTTTTCTTGAGTTTTTTTGAACAGCTCGAAAACCTAAAACATTCGAAACAATCAAATGTACCGGTCGCTCGTATATTATTTAAATAGTCGAATGACGCAGCTGGTAGAATAGCGTTTAATTGCAATACAGTAATAGTTATATTAAATTGTACTGTTATTGAATAAATGTTGTTAATGTCTAAAGAGAAAAAACAAAATGAATCATAATCGAACAATCAAGTAGAACGTTTTGCGTTAAACGTAATATTGCTTTACGGTGTACACAAATAAGCGAAAAATGCTTGCCAAAAATGTATGGCACCGTTTTCGGGTATTTAACTATTACATTAATTAAATCTCAGCAAATAAAAACAAAAATCTCACCTCGTAGTTACTCAACACCGCAACTTGTGTATTTTTTCTGCAAAACAAAACAAAATAAAATATATATATAAGTATTTTAGTCGACGATTGTGTACTCACACTTCCATGTTCGGTAGATAAATAGGATTAAATTATTATTTTAAAAACAGGAGCAAATCATTAACGATTGAAAATTTAATTCAAAAAAATGTTGTTTAATAACATGTCACATGTAAATATATGATGATAACGTTTCACTTTGCCGTTATCACATTACCTTATCAACAACAACAATCTGTTTTTCTTCCATGACTTTCCCAACAGTAGGTACTACAAAATATATATCCAACTGTCATTATTTACACAAATGTGTTAATTTTTAAACAATTTAAAAAAAATATCTCTTCAAAAGATAGAACTAGGATTTTGGTAGATATTTATTAAACATGTTTTAACCAATATTATTAAAACAAAGAGTGATAAAATCACTTTCAAATAAATGCTTTGATGGCCAATTAAAATTATATTTATTTTATGTATTGCCTTATAACAAAGTAAGTATTGTTACTGAAGAAATAACTTAAATATACTTTTTAAAGACAATTTTAATAAGGTTATTTTGATGTTGGACGCACTGTTGTAAAAATTACAAAGACACGCGTGCATTTAGTTATTAACTACAATATGTCTTACTACGTACATTTTTACTAGTAATATTACTATTTATTCATAGAAAAAAAGGTACATAAAAATCAATATATTATACGATTATTATGACAAAATAAATTTACTGATTGATTTCTCTGATATATTCAATGATTAATTGAATGATGTCAAAACTGACTTGTTCAAAAGCCCCATTTAGATAATCTAAAAAGAGGTCAACGTCTACTTTATCAGTTGTCACATCGCTAATTAAGCATTGTACATAATTCTCTTCGTGTACATGCTTACCTATATTAAGAATCATTGGTTCCTTGTTGTTTCCGGTCATTGGTTCGATCAAGCGGCACCCGAGCGATTCACAAATCTTTTGCAGTTCTTTTTTTAAATACCGTATAATGCAGACCAAATGTTCATCCGACTTACTCTTGGCATATTTGTCAAAAGCTTCTTTTAACTCAATGATGTGCTGATCGTTATTGATACACAATTTATTTATGAAATGATCTAGTGCGATGTACAATCGATACGGACCTACGTGATTTCCTAAGCCCATCAAATGTTTCAAAATCAACCGAAACATGATGACTTTCAAAAAGTCAAAGTGCAACGTGTAATATGCTTCTATGTGACGAAGGTTATTGGTGGTCCAGTCCATATCGCGAGCTTTAAACCAAGCTCTTTCTAACTGCTCAGACGTATCGCCCCAGTTCACTTGCACATCGTATGTGGTCATCAACCCTTTTTTGAGCCCCGCATTTATGCCCAAGTTGTTCATGAAGAGGTTTATAGATCTCAGTGTATCGTTGAGCAACCCAAATTTTAAGCTACTCGTCGTTGTATTATTTTCCATCATGTCCATCAATTTACTGTTACTTCTAGTAATCAGCTGCGATATGCCTTCTTGAGTAAGTCCAGGATTTTCGACAAACTTGCTCTTCGAATCGAAAATATTATTTTTCCGACAATTACAGACGGCCTTCTCCAATATGTCGATGACATACGCGTGTGTCTTCATGATTTGTGTTTCAATATACTCGAGATTCGTTTTACACTTCTTAAGTATAAATTTGAAGTGCCCCGGTAACATATTCGCATACAACTGGAACAGCCACAATGTACTAATTGTCGTTCGATCCAACCAATACAACGTGGATATCATACGTTTCACAGCATTACTAAGAAAGTTGAGTATACTCATCGCTTTGGATGGTGAACTTACTGGAGGTATAAACACAAGTCTAAATAGTCGCATTTGCGTTAGCCCGAAGAACAGGTAACCGCATTTCAAGTCTGTGATACGATCAACGGTTAGATCATGGTCATCGGTGTTATATTCGTATCCTGTATCCAAATGTTGTGCTGATCCACACTCGAGAAACGCAAAGTTCAATACAACTATAATAAGTGTTTTCGAACACTTCATTTTAAAACAAACGTAATAGGAATCAGAGAACGATTTTTGAGAATAAAAATATTTTAAATATCTGAATTAGTTTTTTTAAAAAATGTTAAAAACAGTTAAGTTGAACAACTATACGGAAAGATGGTATGTATCAGATGACGTGCAAGTTCAAAAAAAAAATATTTTATATTCTTGCAATCGCAATAACATCGAACGAACCTAAGAAAATAACACGTAAAACTATTTGTTATTATGGATATCATACTGCGGAGCTACAAAATTTAAATAAATATATGCAAAAAACAAACAAAGACTAAAAACAATGGGGCACTTAGTACGTTTATAAAACATTGCGTTTTAAATGTAAAATCACCTACACTGAATTTAATAAACATTTAGCATACACATAGCAACCTGGAAATTGACTACGAACTTAAAAAATATTAGTCAGACAACAGATTTTTGAGAACATTTTTAAACCTACTTGAGGTATTAACACAGGTCTAATTAGACGCATTTGCGTCAGGCCGTAAGTTTTTTAAAACTTTTAAATAAAAGTTCTAGCTAAAAAAAGTTGTTGTTAAACTTTTACTCCTTCCATCTAAAATAAGTTATATGTACAAAAAAATTCAATTACAATGCAAAATCATTATTATTTGACTGCTCAGTACTAAAAAACTCTCACGAGTGGAAAACTAATGAATTCTAGGGATATAACAAAATATTTTAACGTTAACTGTAAAGAAACATAATACAACTCAAGTATCTGTAGAAAGGGCATTTTCTTCTTTAAAATATGTTTTAAATGATCACAGATACAACCTTGACAGTGAAACCCTTGAAAATATTTTTTAGTTAAATTAAATTAATTTTTTTTGTTGGTAAGATTATGTTAAATTTGTTTGTTAGTAAATTGCGTATAAAGTATATCGAATTCGTCCAGAAAGCATCTCATCATGATGGCAGCATTTAAAACGTTAAGATTAAATTACATTTTTTATTAATAAAAAAAATGTTTTTTTCATTATAGTTGTTCATGATATGTACCATAATATTTTTATGATTGTTGTTAAATATTTGGTTACTTTTTCACCAAATTTATTGTGTTTAAAAAATTAAACTGTCACTTATACTATGAACTTTTGATTATACTAAATTTTTATAATATCATCATTTGTTTATTGAAATTGAAATTTTCAAAATATTTTAAAACATTTTTATGTTAAATGCATAATATAGTAAAATTATTATTAAGTTGTATTTTACATTTCCTATTAACAAAAACGTAAAAGCATAATCATTTTTTTTATTAAACTTATTCATGAAAATGGTTTATAATAACTGTTAAATAAAAATTTTTATAAATACAGTTAGGAAATAAAATTTTTAAAAATAACAGTTTTGAAATAACTTTTATCGAAAAGAGTAAAGGTTAACTGTTTTATTCGACAAGATACTTATACCAAAGATGGTATACATCAGATGATGTGTAAGTTGAAAAAATATATTATACTTGTACAAACGCATTAAAATGAACAAACGAACCTAAGAAAATAATACTTTAAACTATTTATGTATACATGGATATCAAACTGCGTAGCTACTGAACTGTAATAAATGTATGCAAAAAAACACAAAAACCATAAGCAAATACATTGTGATATTTATTGCGTTCTTATAGGTAGTCGAAAAATAAATATTTTGTTTAATAGTCAACTATTAATAACGCATAAAGGGGGCTCCATACAGACCATTTTTAAGGAGTTTATACAGGCAATATTTAAGAAAAAATTGGCTTAAATAAATTTCGACCATGTCAATAAATTTACCGGTTAATTTGTATAAGCTTCAATTATTATTATTATTATAATTATAACTTTATTTTTAATTTAAATCATTTTGTCTATGAGTAAAAGCCATTTTAGTTAATATAACATACATTTTTTGTTCCATCGCACAGGTTCAACCAGTAATCCGATGAGTAATATGAAAACAGATTTGAATTTTTCATTAAATTTACTTGAGATCGGTCGACGTACTTTTTTTATATCTTATTCCTACTATGTATAAAATACGTTTTTTTGAACATTTTAAAATAAAATGTACAAAAGGTTAAAATTAAAAATTGAAAAAAGTACCTCGACCGTTCCTAAGTAAACTTCATGACGAATTCAAATCTGTTTTTAGATTGCTTATCGGATCACTGGTTAGGCCTGTGCGATGGAATGAAAATGATGTGTTTTGACTGAAAAAATGGACTGTATGGAGGCCCCTTAAAGTACAATATTGTTTTATTCCAAACATTGGAACAATACCTTCTCGGCTATGATTCGGTGGAGCTAAAAGCTGCACGCATTAACATTATTCCGGTCGTTGGTGTGGTTGTGGTCGTTGTTGTTATTATTGTTCTCGTTTGGTCGTGTGTACCGACAAAATCGCGGCCAGAGGAAACGCAGAGTCGGTTATTGATCGCTTGCGGCAATGAAAGGACGATGACCTTGCCCTTGTTAGAGTCGAACCGAGCGCATGCCTTGGCCGGGCACACAAAACCGAGGGGGAGAAGTACAACGAGTAAAACGTGGGCGAGTGCTGGTAAGTCACGGTAATGGGCGAACTTCCAGTGAAGTTTCCACGTTTAAAATAATATTTTATACATACCTTATAAAACGCGTAATTCGAACCGGCTTCGGGACTTTAGCCATTAACGTCAACCGCCCTGTCCGACCCCATCCCCCATCATCCCCTACCAATTTTTTTATCGACTCGCCCGTTTGATGTCGTTATGATAACACACCTGGCGCCTGGCCGCAGTTGACAAAATATGTGTATTATTATTCTTCAAGAATAATAATACTTATTTACAAAACAGCGTTCGCCCGACCACAAACACCCCATTGGTATAATAATAACACGGATCGTCTTGAGATTTGGGCAAGAACCGATGTTATAAAAATATTATTGGTACACACTGTATAATCGCCAATAAAAAATTATTCGCTCATGACAAAATGTCACTTACACCTATATTTGGTTCACGTCATGGCGGTAAACGATATAACGGACGGTTAAACAAAGCTGTCAAATTTTAATAATTATAAACAGTAAACGCCTAATAGAGATGACGTCGTTTTTGTTAACTTGTCTACGAAAATTCCTTAAAACTTAATATA